CAAAAGGGAGATTTCATTCACAGATATCCTTGCCAGATAAATTTTGGATAAATGCTATACCCCTATAAAGTTGTTCTCAGGAAATTTTGATTTCTGGCTTTCCCATTGCTAGGAAATAGGACTGACTACCAAGAAAAATGGAGAGTTAAAGTTCCTAGCAGACTGGAAAAATTGGATAAATATTATTACACCTCTCAAATTTTCCCTTGGTACAAAAAAAAAATTTTTTTTAAAGGCCATTTGATGCCCTAGGATTCAAGATCACATGATTTTTCTTCCTCTTTGGAGAAGTCAGTGAATTTCTTTCCACACTGATTACATTTTCCATGGAGGAAGTCAGTAATTTCATAGAGAGCTTTAAGCACAGAAGAGGACTCTTTGAGAATAATATTCTTTGCAAGTTGTAGACTTACTTTAAAAAATAAATAAAAATTTTGATGAATTTACTTTGACATTACAACAGGGAAATGAAGAGGTTACAGATGACATTATGTTGACAATTATATTTCCGAAGTGGCTGACTAACTAGGTCTTATAGGGAAGAAGGTTTCTTGTGGTCATGAGAAATAGGAATTGCCCCCAAACATGAAGTCGAACTTACCCCTCCCTGCTAATCAGTGTCCTGGGTCTTCCTACCGTGGGAATACACAAGAGGCATCAGAGATTTAGCCTAAGCTGATGGTACACGGTGTTGTTCAACAGAAACATAATGCAAGCCACTAATATGAGCCACATTTGTAATTCTAAAATTTCCAATACCACATTTACAAAAGCAAAAAGAAATTGGTAAAATTGGATTTAGTAATATATTTTTATTGAACTCCGTATATCTGAAATATTATTCTTTCATCATGTAATCCATATGAAATAGTATTTTATTGTTATTAAGATGTAATTATTAATATACCAATAATAGCATTGTTACTATATTATTAAATTAATGTGTAATATATATTATTTATGTTACAATGTGATATTAATAATATACCAATTATTAATCTTAGTTTCTTTTTCTGTACTTAGTCTTTGTGCATATCTCAGGTTGACCTGGACACATTTCAAGTATTCAGTGCCACATGGCGTTTGTGGCTACCATATAGGGTGGCATAAGACTAGAACACTGGCCTCTGTGCTGTGCATTGGAATCACCTGGAGAGATTTTAAAAATTCTGATGTCAGGCTGGTCCCCAGGTCATTTAAATGAGAANTTTATCATTTATCAATAACTATTGGTTATTCCTATATACCTTGTACCTAAAATAGAGCCCAGTACAGAAGAAACACTTTATTAAAGATGTGTGGCAAAATGGTAATTGTTGATTCTGGTTAAATGGAGGTTTGTTGCTTGTATTTCAAGTCTGGGGTATTTCTGCTCCTATTTCAAGTCTAGTGATTCAACTTATCAGTTGGAAAACTATAAGAGGTACCCTGGTGAACATTAACCAAAGAGAAATCCCAGAAAGAGAGAAAGTGGAGGATATGATTAGACAAGAAAACACACAGTAATCTCTTGCAAAAAGTGGAAGTAGCTCTGAGTGTGCCCTGGGCCCAGATGGGTCAGCTATTGGGCTCTGGGGCCAGCAGCAAAAGGACTAGGTGACTACTTCAGTGAGAGCAACCCGGTGAATTGTTCTCTGCCCCATGTCAACAAAACCACCACACATGAGTAACAAAGCCACTTGTTCCCAGGTGGGAACTTAAGTAGGAGAAGCAAGTAAAGTTCCAGGAGACTGGTGCCATTTAGAAGGAATGAGGAACTCATATGCCTAAAAGGATGATAAAAATAAGAAACACAGTATCCCATTCAGGAACATATTCTCTCCACCTACCCTACTCTCCCATTCTTGGTGGGAGTGTTGACCAAGAGTTGGCTAGAGTCCCCACCACCTACTCTACTTGTTTATTTTAGCAGCTCTGCCTTATAAGACTTTGAGTTGTGATTCCTGCACTGAAAGACCATTCTCTGTGTGGTCTTGAAGGGTGCAGTGAATCAAAATGGGCTCTAACAAAACATCACATATTTTTCTGTTGATCAAGTGACAGGCTCAACTGCAAGGAGCTCCACGGGATAGAATAACTGGTCTTAACCTTAGGGTTTTCTAAACCAATAATTTGATTTTCTGGGTTCACAAATAACTGTGGGAGCAGTAATAAACAGAAATATTTATATAGGAAGGCTCTTAAAGCTTTTGCAAAGATGGGTTGATCCATGTCCTGAAGGAGTGTGTAAGGGAAAGCCACAGATGCTATTAAAATGAAAGAAACTTCAGTTGTAGAAAATAGGATCTGGGTTATTTTAAAATCCTTTTACCAAAGTCCCCTCTGTTTCTGTGTTTATGTGGTTTCTGAGCAAATGATTTATCAACCAAAGTGCACCCTTTCAACAAATTATAAATGGGTGCTTGTGTAAGAGACCAGACCTTATTTCAAATCCAAATAGCAACAAAAGTTCAGGGGACCCCTGCCAACCAACTGTATACAGGACAGATGTTGAGACAGATTACAGCAGCCAAATATCCTATGATTTAGAGACTGATAACTTGACAAACTTAAAGTAAATGAAATAAATTGAGCAATATTCTGAAATCATGCCCAAAATAGAACACTACACAATCCACTAAATATCTGATTTTTCAG